CCGACCATCAGTGACAAGATTGATCATCGTAATATAATTAAATCATGCCTATAACCCGTGCTGCGGAGTAGGTGTCAGAGGAGGAAGTTAACAGGATGCCACAGAAATAGCCTGATTTACATTTTCAACAGTAAATATTCACGAGGGATATTGGAATGTTAAAAATAAAGCAGGATGTTTTTTTTTGTCAGAAAATACTACTTCAAAATGCCTAGGATAAGATCAGCTAAAAAGGTAAGATGTTCCACATTCGCCACAGGAGGCGCCAAAATCAACACAAACCGAGAGTTCCTCTCAGGAGCTTTAATGAAACTCGACACTTCCTAACAGGGGATTCTTCTCCCTGCTGAAGTCTTCAAATATGAAATAAGATTTGCTAAAAGTCTCTGTTCCCTCACTCAAATATGACCAAATATAATTGAGGGATCATTAGAAATCAAGACCCATCTAAGAACCTTCTTCCCTTCGAAGTTATGCCCACTTTTTGAATTGATTTAACGCATTTTAAAAAAGGCATTTGTCTTAATATTGTTGTTTTAAAGGGTGTTCATGATCCAAAATAATTGATAAAGTGAAGCAACAGCAATGTAGAAAATAAACAAAAGAAACTCAACGCAGCCAGATAATGATCCTCCTTATTGCTTTTGAAGAGTGATGACTCAGCTTAAAAAGACACTGCATGCGCCACACTGACACTCATTTTTGAAGCAGCTTGTTAAATCTTTCTGAAAACTTTCAAACTTGTTATGCCATGAATCCATTTATGTATCAGATCAAAAGTTTATCTTTGAATTTTGGATAACACTGCACCATCAATGGACTGAATTGGTGGACTGAAGTGTGGACTCGTATGTTTACTTTCCTTCAACAGGAAACTGGATAAGCTTCCTTTAATCAGCTGGATCTTTTCATTTTGTTAAACTAATGCTGAGACCTTTAAAGAGCCTAAAAGCTTGATGAAATTAAAATTTGACCTGCACAATTCGGAGAAAAGATATTATGTAGATTGTGCGTGTCCAGAAAATATTCTTTGACCCTGTCTTTCCCTCGCCACAGAACGAGCAGCTCCTGATGACAACCAGCTGATGAATTATCGATTCATGTACTGGGCATGATGAAGCGCTTTATCAAACATCTAATGTGCTCTTTATGAACCTCTGATGCTGCCTCGTCTGACTCGGCCTCATAATGATTTTAAGGAAATGAAGAGGCGACACAAATGGAGAGGCTGCAGAGACGGGCCGAGACAAGAGGGCTCACTCTGTCATGTTTTTCTCTCAGCAGCCTCGCTACTTCCTCCCCTAACTTCCTATCAACCCAATACTGTCTCATTTAATCTTTATTTTTCCAAATTCAGTTTGTTTATAATTTTATCAAAGCCTTGTTTTCCTCATTTGATCCTTTCCTTTCCCTCACTGTGCATTTGTTATTCTGTTCAGCAAACACTGAAGCAGCGACAGCTTGTCATATCTGCTGCTGTGGATCAGACGGGTCGAAAGTAGGCTAATTGTTGCATACAATCAACTAGTATCACAAATCCAAATCATGTAATCTGTTTCTGCAACAGAATCCACTAGTTCTGATCTAAAATAGTTTTTTTTCCAAAGATATGGGCCAATCTACAATAACATGTCATGTATTATTTCCTGTGACATCTGTGACCTACATAAAACCTGATGAAGTGATACTGATGCTTCAGTCAGCTGAAGAAGCAAACAACTTTTCTAACTATATGATTTGAGCTATGAAACACAACAGTATCAGAATAAACCAATGCTTTGACAGACATGTTTACCTGCCGAGTTTAAAGGAAGACGTGCAGTATAATGGTAAAGGGTGCCCAATAGCCTTACAGGTTGTGTCGCCTGACCCATGTACAGAGGCTATAGTATAGGCTCCTCTGCCCTTTGCTGCATGTCATTCTCACACTCTCTACTCCCAACGTTTCCCACCTCTCTTCAGCTGTCCTATCAATTAAAGGCAAAAATGGACCAAAAACATTCAAAAAAAAAAGTTGTAATTTGCAAACTTTTATTTTTTGTCTCTCTCTCTCTCTCTCTCTCTCTCTAGCCCCTTTCACACATGCAGAGCGCTAAAAAATTCACCAACGCTGTCAAGGTGTTGACACTTTACGCAGCCCACTTTATGCCGCCCACCCAACTTTCAGTTTTCCTAAATATTCAGCAGAATGCAGGGAATTAAGTGTTGGAGAATCAAAAGTTGCCAAGGTTGCCCACCTACAATTTATAACAGCCCACTCTTATTTTGACAGGCTACAACAAATCACCAAAACCATGAAATTCAAGCTTTTACTGAAATACTTTTTTTCCCTGGGGGAGGAGGCCCGGGACCCCCCTGGCTGGCTACTATCTCCTATTGGCTGGCTACTCCATATGTCTGTGCAAAGCCCTGAAAAAAACCTTTGTACACTAATTATCAGTATAAAACAGCAGGAATATACACTGGAGGAGAAGGGGGAAATGTAATGGCTAAGGAGCTACATGATTCATGATTCTACATTTGGTGGAGACCAAACCAGAGTTTACAGAGATGTGAATACTGGACTAATGCACTGATATGGGATTACAAATCTCATTTCAGGCCATCCTGTTTTTAGGTTGGACTCAGACGATCAATGAACTGGACAATAAAAATAACCTTGGTTAAAGTTTACTTCAGTTTTCCTTCAATGCTAAAATAGGAAATATTACATAGTGAATTGTTTTGAATTATTAATTTAAATACTTCATACAGCAGTTTAACTGATAGTTACAGTTAAAAAAAAAATCTTTGTTAGTGAGCGCTTGCTCATTTGTATTTAGTCTTTTAAAAAACTAGACCTACATCAAGCAAACATTCAAGCTAGCACATTGATAACCAGTCATTGATTCTCAGTACAAACAAGTTCCATGTACGGCTGCAGACCGGTTGGATCACCTATGCTGTGGATAAGCAGAGTTTTCTTTCATCTGTTTTCTCGGTTTGTGTTTTTTTTTTTTTACTTTGCATTGTTACTGTATTTGCAGCGTGTTTGACGTTAACGCATTTGTTTCATTTCTTTTTTGCAGCATGTTCTTTTAACTAGAAATCCTGGGGGCAGTTCCTGTAGTCCAGCAAGCAAATACAGGCTAATATCTTCTGAGATGTTTGTGTATGTGCAGTAACTGCACCTTAAAGATATATAACAGAGACACATTCAAAACCAGGATTTGGACTCAGGATGATCTCCTACTTCAGGTTTTGACTGATCCCCTTTCAGGACACAACCATGCATGTTTTTTTCTTTCTTAAAAAAATGTTCCCTCATAAGCTTAGAAGCAGCAGTACCTTACTTGTGCATTTCACAACAAAACGAGACATCGGACTTACTTAAGTGTGTTTGTGAGAGAAGACGCCAAACTTCTACACACAAATGATCTCAACAACACATTACGCTGTGCAGCTTTGCTCTCGCTCTCGGCTGTAATAATCTCTCCTTCTTGTTATTCTCTGTCAGTAAACGCTCATCAGGGGCTGCTGATGGTTATGAGAGCGTGCTCTACAGCGGCTGCTGCGGCCGTTTTCACCATCAGTGCTATCTGTGCTTGTCTCAATAAAAAGGGGTTTCTCTGACATTATCTCTGTTTGCCTCTTATTCTTCCTTTCCGGTTCCCTCGTTCTTCTCCCCTTCATGAATATTGCAGTGAGAGGCTGCAGAGCAATATGTACGGCAGCAGATAAGAGTCTGTTTGAAACACTTGAGAGTCAGGAACAACTTCAGCTGACTGCTGTCTTTTAAATGTAACAACTGCAGTGACTCAGCCTTTTACTGTGCTCATCCACTTGCTCACTTCATAAAATGTTCGACATTTACAGAGAGAAAGTAACAAGTAGCAGGGACTTTTGATATTATCCTCGTCTACGAGTGACTTTATGTCGGTTTAAGGGAAGTGGAAAGAGTTTTCTGACCTGCTGTTGTAGTGAAAGCCCTTCAAAATGGTAAAAGGGCTGAAATGTATCACAATCAAGCAGCAAACTGCAGAGTTAGAAAATGAAGCCAATGCAGTATAGTGCAAAGTACTGCAGCCAGTCAAGTGTCTACTTGAGGCTGCATGCAAAAATCAAGCAATCCCAATTAAATCCCGTTTTAAATGCCCATTCTTACTAACTAAACGAGTTTCCAGCCTGGTTCATTACATATATTTTTTCTTGTCTTATTTCTTTATAAGGGGTTGAATTTTCTCAAAACTCCTCACACTTGCATTAAACTTCGGAAACTTTTCCTGCCAGTCCTCTAGTACATTTTCTGCGGGAGGTCGTGGTGAGCTGATGTGAGAATGCAGCAGGAAATATTCAACCAAGCGAGTGGGAGGGAGTGATGACCTTTTTATCCTGCGACCAACACACAACCACAGACTGTATGCATGCGTTAACCCTAACCCTAACCCTAAGCCTAACCCCAACCCTCTCCATGCACACAACAATAACTGCTTCATTGTGTTTTCTTTTCACCAGTGCGTTCTTCTTGACTTTTATGTTGACATTGTGATTCTGCTGGACTACACATACCACTGAAAAAAGGCAACAATTATCAAATGACTGTTTCTTTGTTCACCACTTCTGCATTGTTCTTCTAACGTCATGTCTAACCTCCTGAGCTTGTTTATTTTCTCATAGACAGCTCAAAACTCCATGGATGTCACTTTCAGTTGTTTGAGATCTTGGTTTTGATCTCTTTATTTGTTTGTGACCTACTTAAATTCGGATTATATTATTCCTGTCTTCTTTTTCAAAATCAGCTGTCAGGACTTTATGAGCTGCCTGAGACACACACACATTTTGTTTGTATAATTCTTTTACTCTTAATATTAATCACTTTTTTGGTTTGTACAGCATCAAAAACTCTATAACAGAAAGCATCTTTTCTGTTATAGAGTTTTTGCTTTAACCTTTTGTGCTGTTAGTGTTTAAATTCATCACAATCATCTCAACAACATCTACTTTATGACTTGACCACATACCTAAGATGGCGATGACCTCGTCGTCCTGGATGACCTCCAGTGACCCCGACACAACAAAACAGAGGGTGTCCACACTCTCTCCAGCGTGGTAGATCAGGTCTCCTGGAGCACAGTGGGTGGTTTGAAACTCCACGGCCAGCGAGCGCAGGCAGCCGTCACTGGCTAACCGGAACGCAGGGTGCTCGTTGAAAACCTGAGAAAAGGGGGAGAAGTGTAAATGTATTTACTACCAAGTTTTTTCCAGAGTCAAACTGTTGTAAATATAGACTTCCCACAAAATGACAGACTGTTGACTCTGTTGTTCTCCATTTTAACTGACATCTGTATGATGTGTAATGCCCGCCATGAAGGAGAGGGAAACTTTTCTACTTCTATTTGTGGATCTTTGTAAAAGTAATGTGTTTGGATGAATATATTTGGCTGGATTTGGATCATGAGCACCGTTGAGCTGATGCAGCAGGACCGTTTTTTGTTAGAATGTTATGAGGGTACAGTAGACCTTCAGATGGTTAGAAAAATAAATCAAAACACTTGTTTTTTCTCTGTCGTCTGACAGACGCATACATTGGGGTAGCTTGGATCTTGAAATGGTCGGAATCACAATCAGAGCTTTCTAGCTTTGTGAAGCAAAAGTGAAAGACACAGAACGGTAGTTGTTTACATGGCGGTGATAATGAGAAAACACAAATGCGGCGCGTGGGTACAGGGAGATGATATATGAAAAAAAGGTTCTATTGTTTGTAGATTTTCAAACAGACACGTGTGTAATTTAAGTTTTTTGAGTTATGGGGGGGGAGGCGAGGCTTTGTCTGCCCTGAGGTTGTCAAAATCAGAATGAAATAAACTCATGTTAAAACATTACTGGGAAATGTATACAAAGATATTCTGGTAAGAACAAGTGTGTGGTCATATTCTGAGAGGATTTAAAGTATTAGAATTCATATCAATTTTTGAAAGCAATGTATGCGGTGGTGGTGCTCTAAGTCAAAAGGTTGGGAACCGCTGTTGTAAGTCTTTTTTTTTTTGGATCTCTTGACATTCTAAAAAGATGACGTTTTTGTTGCTTTTTGAAAACACTGGTTATTGTTCATTTTTAACTTCAGAAACATTTTAATGGAATAAACGGATTAACTGATATCAAAGTTAAGGTCTTTGTTAACGAATTAACAGTTACATTTTTGATTAACTGTGCAAACCTCTGATGTTTAACATCTACAAGTTATAAGATTGTCTTAATTAAACTAATTCAAGTCTAAGATCGAGTGTTTTGTCTTTTCTTCAACTCCCTCAAGAGGACACTATCAAGACGTTGAAGAGAGAATACAGGTCATCCTTATTTATATTCTTGACAGCAGACTACATTTCGACACCTTATTGTTTTCCTGTCTGCAGAAGAAGTTCTTTTCTGATATCCATTTATATGTGAAGAATCAGAAACAGCTTCCACACACACAGAATCCATCACAGAGACAGTGAAGGCTGAATTCAGTTTGTTCTTTCACTCAGAGTTTATATCATATCAGCGCTTCCTGTCGATCAATGAAGCTGTCAGGATGAAATGATTGACTACATTTGGGAAGCAACCCCCAAAACATGTTCCTCAAAAACTTCACTGTTTAGACTTTTTTTCCGTTCAGGACTTTTGTGGAGTGAGGGAAGAGGTCAGCACTCTGTTCAATGAGCTAAATCGCAGCGACTGAAGGGTTTGAAGTGGGAAAATTCTTAGGCACTGATGACTCTGTGAAACTTTACACACCGTTTAGAGCAAGCCAGGTTTGTGGTGCCAAAAATCAAAAGGAAAAACAATGTTCCTTTGGTTTTTTTTTTTCTTTGATGGAGCGCTCACTCACTCCAGTTTTTTGAAAACATTTTGCATCTGATGTTTTCAGATTAAAGTGGAGAGACCACAAAAACAGGAAAAAAACAAGACACCAAAAGACTGTATTATTATTGGGAAAATTTTAACGACTTTAATTGTAACTTATTTTCATATTTCTAGGGTCACATTCAGATAAATAAAATGTGCAATTTATCACTGTTTACTTAGCTTTACCTAACTTTCTCTTCAATAACTTTAGGGGCCTTAAGTTCCTAATGAACTCTGCATTTTCATTTTTTTCCTCATCTTTTTGATATCCAAGATTTAGGGCGCTGGTGACCTAGTGGTTGGGTTGCACCCCATGTACGGTAGCTTCACTTGCACACGTGGTCCGGGTTCAAGTCCATCTTGCAGCCCCTTTCCTTAAAGTCATTCCCACATTCACTCCTGATTTCCTACTCTATCCATTCTCACATGGGGGGGGGGAAGTAGAGGGGTTTCTTGTTAAATAAAACAAAGTCTTCTGAATTATGTGTGCCAGAAATTCAGCTCAAACCCGATGGCTTCTTTTTTTAAATAAATAAAAATACAAGCTGAGAGTGATATAACCTGACATTGAGTTGCTTTAAGGACAAATTTTCACTCTCTCTGGTAATGATTTTTAAAAGGGTCTTGTTTAAATGTCCAGGGTTAAGTGTTGTGCGATCTTCCGTTTTAGAAAGAGAGATTTGAGGCACAATAAGAGCTAGCCGATCTGAATGAGGAGACTAATTTTAGTCACTATGAGTATTTGTCATTGGCGCTGGTTGTTTCACAACTGAAGCTGTCCTTTATTCAATGCCAGCTCAGCAATTTGAGCCTGCCAGTAGTGGGACCAATATCAGTGGTGTCAAGTGGTGCCCGGGAGCTTATTAATAAACACATCTTGTCTGAGTTTAGTTATGTAACTAATTAATCAAGACTGGTATTCAGTGTATTCAGTGCAGTGAAATAAAAATCCAGCTCTAGAAAACTTGAAATCTCTTTGTGTGAGGATAGTTCAGAAAGGCTTTCATTGATGATTCAGGTGTTTGGAGAACCTTACTGTAGAAAAAGTCATACGACTGCTTTAAGTCTTTAAAGGTCATTCTCTGTTACACATTTGATTTATTATAAGATTTGGGGTAATTTTAAAGTTTAATCAAAGACTTCACCTTCAATTGAACAGCCGAGTATGACCTGGTACTTTAACCCCCAACATTTTTACAAAAAAACTCAAACTTTTTTCAAGTAACATTATTTTTACCCTGAAGCACCCTGTGATATCATTCAACAAGCGCAGAAAACGAGGGATGTTCATGTTAAGTCCACTTAATGGCTTAATGGGGGCGGCAGTAGCTAAGTCTGCACCAGAGGGTGGAAATTGGTCTGGTAGCTCGAGAGGTGCCAGATCACTTCCCGAGCACTGCCGAGGTGCCATGAGAAAATATTTGGGGATTCATTTTCTATCAATCTATTAACCAATGAATCGATCTATAGTTTGTGGGTACATACCTTCCTGTTGAGGTGGACACAGATGTCGGCCCTCATGTCCTTGGGACAGATGGATAAGACCTGAAAACAAAGACGTAAGAAGGTCACACTGATGTAAAAACATAAACAAAACTTGGTATCAGCAAGACCAGCAAGCGGTGGCTGCCAAAAAGGAGGGTTTTAATAAATTCTCTGCTTTCTCCTTAAAGAGAACCTCCCAGTAAAACATGAGTTTAGATGGAGCTCTGCTGGCAGCAACATCTAACTTTTAGAGTTGGAAGGTAATGAAGATGTATTTAAGGGCGTGGTCACACTGGCCATCCGTACTGTGTCCAAGCACGCTTCAACCCGAAAGTCCAGTTCGTTTGGCCAGTGTGACCGCTCCGTGCCGTGCTCAGGCACGTCACACTTCATGCATGAGCATAAGCACGCGGGTACACAACACTGACAGCCTTCATTAAGGAGAAATCCAGAGCTTTATGGTTGTATCTGACTAAAATGTCACAATATAAACCCCAAAGTAGCTGTCATGTCAGTCGCGGACTCGGCCGCAAGTCTATTTTATTTTTTTATTTCATTTAATTTATTTATGGCTGTGTCTTATAAAAATACTCTTGCAAAGCTGATGATACACTTTATAATCCTTTAAATGCCCCAAAATTCTTCTCTCCCTGATTGCAGAGCAAAAGGAGGTCAAAGACTAGCCACAGTGTAGTCTTGAACCAGACCTGTCAAACTACATTATGGTGCTGAAGGGTGATTCACGTCTTTTAGTAGGTCAAACTTTGCTCACCATGTGAGAATCTTTCAATAAAAAACATTTTGGTTAATTTTTAAGGCAGAAAAATGTTTAGGTCACATAAAAGTTGATACACTAGGGACTCCTCCATTATAATCAATACAAATAGAATGTATACATGTATAATCAAAGGCCTAAGGCAATCCACTTTCATCAAAAGAATCTGTAAAAAACATTTCCAACCAAAGGGTGAAGAGATAATGAATAAAACCAACTCTCTATAACTTCATCAGTGTGATACTGATGGGTCTGAGTTAGAGGAAATCACTTTTTTGTTACTTTACACCCTCGAGGCATCATAAATCCAAACAGCAGCTTTCTTATACAACGTTAAACTGTATATATCAGTCATTTGTACTTTAATACTTTTGCTTCTGTCAGAGGGCACAGATTTATTGGTATATATATATATTCTTGACTTGACCTACAGTATTTGTCTTTAAATTTAAAAAAAAAAAAAACTTGGCTATCTGACAACCCGTGAGTGAAGAGAAAGCCATTTGGTTGTTGAAATCAAAAACAAACACTAATCCTCAAAGGATGAGCTACACAGGAGACAAACATGTGCTGGATGAAATATTTTTTGTGGTTTTCGTTGATTAATAAATCCATGCACAACCACCATGAAGTCAAGAACAGAACTGTCGTTTCTCCAGCGAGGTGTTATTTACAACATTCATTTCATATTAAAGCCAAATTAAAACTGTTTCTCTTCTACGTTATCGCCAAGCTCCGTCTGCCTAAATGCCTAAATATTGGACGCTTTGAAAATCCTGAATTCTCCCCCTAATTACATGAAGCATTTAGGTAAAACAGAGAAACACAATATTATCTCCTGCTCCACAATTCTGCATTTGTTAATAATGAACATAATCAACCGAGTGGGAAACAATAAATTATCTAAAAGCGGCTGCAGCAGTGATACGGTCGTTGAAAAGCATTTCAGCTCTGTTTAAAGTGGAGGATGTTTGTAGTGCAGCGATGCTTTTGGGAGTTTCTCGTCTGTTTGTGGCGTGTAATCGCATAAACAGCTGACTGTGTCGCGTATAATGGCTCTCAAAGTTAGAGAAAATATCCACTAATTGGCCCCAGCTTTAACTGCAAAGTTTTAAAACTGAGTGGAGAAAAGGAATTGCAGGAATAAAATGAGTGAAAAATGCAGAGAAATATAGAAGATGAGGAGCACTTCACCAGAATGAATATAACAAGGAGATTTAAAAAAATAATGCATAAACTATGTGACGTCTTCACATCCCATTAAACCTTCTTACAGACATCTAAGTTCATGATTTTATGATTTGCCAGATCCCAAATGAGCAAAGCAAAACTTCACTAATGCACAAAACTTCTAAAAAAGTCCTGAAAGTTTGGGAGTGAGCTGCATGTCTGAAGGCAAACGGCCGAATGGTCACCATGCCTGCACCCAAAATTGTTCCTTTCCTAGTAAATCTTCCACCTGAAGTCAGGTTGAGCTGACGTGAGAGCACAGCAGGAAATATTAAGGAAAGTTAGCCCAAAGGAAGCAGGGGGGTCGACAAACACTGCTTCATAATGTTTTCTGTGTGAATGTGTCGAACTACATAGCATTGAGATAAAGGAAACAAACTGTCATTACTGCGTCAGACTGAACTGTTGCTTCAACCTTTACTTCTGAGTCATTCTTTACTTCCCGCTTCCTGAGATCTCCAGCAACCCTCCTGTCCAACAGGGAGAGTCTCCAGCTGTGAGGTCCAAGTGGGAACAAGCAACTCAGGGACAGTTCAGGGGCAGCATGCCTGAAATATTCAGGAGTGCATATGTAAAAAAAAAAAAAGAGCTTTCCTCATGGGCGCAAAGCGGTTAGGCTGCGGCCCATACTCGTAGGCTTTAGTCCTCCAAGGGGGGCCTGGGTTCCAGTCCGACCTGCTGCTCCTTACCGCATGTCATTCCCCACTCTCTCATCCCAATTTCCTACTCTATCCACTGCCCTATCCAATAAAGGAAAAAGCCCAAAAATAAATTCTAGTATATTCCATCATGCTCAAAGGTAGTATAAGACCTGCATGACGAGAGCCAGAATTGAAGCAAAGGCAGAGAACAAAGATGCTGAAGTGAACTCAGGTGTTTGTAATCATTTACAAACCAGAGAAGAGAAGAAAAGACGCTCTTTAATGTGCGTTTATCTTCTTCTTTCTGCAGTCTCAGCCCTGCCCTGAATGCTGCTTGTGCTGCATAGCTTAATAAATGGCTGCAGAAGTTTACATGTAAGGAGTTTGTGTTGTTCTGTGGTTTACATCAGAGCTCATGAAGATGTAAGTAGGTGACTCAGGAAGGATGAATCATCTCAGTGGATTCATAACTGCACTGCATGGATACTGTAAGTGTGTGGTTTTTTTTATGTCTTATTCCTTCAGTTTTGAGCAGTAATTTACATTTTAAATGGGGGATGTGCTCGCAGAGAGAGAGCTGACATGGCTTGTTGGTAGAGAGATTGAAAATAAATAAGAATCTCATATAAAACTTGGCAGGCGGTGGACAGCTTTACTGCTCATGTATTTTGCATTAAGTCAAGCTAAAAGTTTAAATTCTTTGCTCAAACTTCCCAGGATACAGACAAATGTTTAATTTCCCCGAATTTGGAATTTAACCTTAATTTAATACGATTGTTTCTCTCCTTATAACATGTTATAATAAAATAAAACATTTAGACACTGTTAGTTTGTGAAAATCTACTTTGAAAAGAAGGTATGAACCAAATAAACATCCAGATCACATTTCTCACAGCCCATCCACTTCAAGACTGCAGTCGCTGAAATTTTAATGAATACAGCTCACTACTATTTATAATGGAATTCTTGACAACAGTCAAGGGAAGAATCTCATTATAAGAAAAAAATATCCAACCTGTCTGGTGGAAGTCATTTAGGCTACATTCAGGGACCAGCCTTCTCACACACTATGTATTTGAAACATCATCTAATCCAACTGAATATCGGCGTATTATTAGTCCTAATTTCTACAGTGTCAGTACTTAATTAAGAAACATTAATTAAGAAATATTTCTCTAAAGTTTAGTCTCTCCTGGCACAATCAGTCTCTGTTTTGTATCCTGTTGCTAATAGCAGCCACAGAATAGCGGCATATTTCTGATTATGTTACGCCCAGGTCGGTAAGTGCAAGCAGTGTCTTGTAAAGTCTCTGTGAAAATGGCTGAACATATATATATATATATATATATAGACTGCCTTCAAATCAAACTGTCTCAGTCTTCTTTCTAAATGTTAATTGAACCATTTAGACCTTTGATGTGATTGGCTGTTTACCACTCAGTGCCTCCAACATCACCATCTTTGTCATCATCTTCATCATCATCATCATCATCAAATTGTACTCAGGTCTTCTCTTTTTAACGTTCTTCTTAACGTAATGTGTCTGGTTGATTGATCTACTTATTTCTTTGAATTAACTTTATCAAGTCTTGTATAATATCAGTTTTCTCTTTTTGTTTTTAAATACAAAACTGTACAAAACAAAATATATATATATATACCAAAAGAAATTATTGAATATTTGAAGTTCAGTGTTTTCAGAGCTAGCTGTTGTTCATGTCAGATGCTAAGGTGTTAATGTTGATACATTCAGGGATCTTTGAAATTAACTTTGTCTTTTATATATTTTTAATCATATACTCTAGATTTATGTTACAGAAATGACTCTGGGTTAATGAACTTCTAATAAGACCTTGATCTTTTCTTTTTTACCAAGCATGTATTACCCCAGAGGGAGGCATCAACAATCCTTAAAGGCACATTCTTGTTGAAATGTTTCAGTAGTTTGATTAGAGATTTCTCTGAGGCAAATAGACCCAAAAGGAATCAAATGTAGACCCTGTTGACAGAATGGCCTTAAGTTCACTCACTTGAAACATAGCCATCCATCACACTAATACATTTCTCCAATAGCATGACATTTTAAGTCTGAATTCCACATGGCCGCAGTTCATCAGCAGTTTGATGTCTCTGGGCGCAAGCGGGTCAAAAAGTTCAGCACTCGTCTTGTGTCTGGTTGAATTAGGTTGTAACAGTTTGTGACTGCTCTCTGGCTTTAAGGCATCTTGTTGGTGTTGTGGTGTTTTTCTCCTTTTTGCTTGTCGCTGACTTGTTTTTGTTGCCTGTTTTTTTTTTTTTTTACACAGCTCTCCTGTTAGGTGATCTTATATTTCTCTTGGTCGAAATCAAAGATACAATATGTAGAATTTTTACACCAAAAAATCGAAATTAGTTTAAAAAATGACTAAACCTGTGTTATATATATCGTTTTTAGTACTACATAACCTCAAATATTTCCAACAGTTACCAGAGAAAACCAGAGAAAATAACTCTCAATTGTGATTCTCCCTGCGAGCCTCGACTTCGTCTTTTGTTATTGTTTGGATAGACTTCCCCCATGGTGGTGTGATTTACATACTACTGTATGCGTTCAAAGGTACTCATAAAATGTCCTCCATCTAGTTTCTCCTCAAATGTGATTGGACATTCTTGTAACTAGTGTCTCTGTCTTACCTTCTCCGTGTCGATGCCTTTAGACATGGACCAGGTGGAGACGATGTAGTCCATGACCCGCTCACTCAGACCCTTGGGGACCTGGTAGAGCTTCAGGAAGTCCCTGACGTTGTTGAGCATCTCGTGGTAGCGGTTGGTGTTGGCGTACATTTGCTGGAAGATGGTGGTCACGTTTCCAAAGATGGTGGCATACAGCAGAGCTAGTGAGGGAAAAAGAGGAGAGGAATGACATTTATAAAAAAAGAAGCATGTCTCACGTGTGACTCTGGGTTTTTTGTTTTTTTAATACCCCGTACTTCTTCTGTAAACCTTTTTCTTTTATATTTCTTTTAGATGCTCTTTGAGAAGTGCTATTAGACATGGTTCATTAATGTGTTTCATAAAAGTAATAACTCTGACTGGAAAAGAAAATCCACTTAAACTCTGACACCCACACACAGCCAAAGGCTCTTTATCCTGAAAAAGTGGCAGTCTGCTTTGTTTTAACTTTTCTTTGGAAATGTTCCTCTTTGTGAAGATTGAATCCACAAAGGCACTCAATAAATACAGATCTGTCTCATATGAGCTGCTTCTAAAAATCTCAGCATCGACCTAGACACATAAAATCCAAACAACCTCCTAGTGATGGACTGAGACCCCTTCCAGAAATTGAATCAACCACCTTGAAACATCGAGAAAACTCCTACAACCACCTATGGATACCCTAACACCCATTCTGACCATTTTACTCACTACCTACACTGAAACAAAACCCAGAAGCCAGCAGGTATCTACTAAACAAAGCAATCCCCTATCACCCGGTATACCATAAAAAACTGTTTTCTTTAACTACTTTTTGACAACTCTCTTGAGATATCACTCACTAATTCAGCGTTTTCGTTGGTAAATGTTCATCGCCTTACAAAAGGGGCAATGGACCTCATTCAGCAATGTCTTCTTAAGACTCTACCAACATTTGTTCTAAAAGCTAGCGCAGTAAAATGATGGCACGTCACAGATTTGTCACTAAAATACCTCTGAGTGAAGAGAGGTTTTGTATTGGTGTTGTTATAAAGAAGTGTTTAGTTTGAAAATTCTTAGCAAAGTGCTGGCTATATTAATGAGTTAACATTTTACACTCAAACTCAAACATTACCCGTTAGAAATAAATGTTGACGATATGTAAATCATGTATTAATACATGTAATTTAATCATGTTAAAGTGCTACATTATCAAAATCCAATAAGTCATATAAGCATTCAAAATTTGCATAATAATTATTTTGAGTGTTCTCAGATTTTGTTCTGAGTCAAGAACAAATACGAAAACGTTGGTTAATGTCAGAATCTACTTAAGAAAACGTCATTGGGTTTAAAGAACAAATTTCTGCTCAAGTCTTTTCATTAATGAGGCCAATGTTCTTAAAGCTCCAGATTTTTTTCCAGGAGCTTGTGTCAGGAGTAGTCATCAAAAAACCTTAACAGATATTTTTTTTTCTCATTTCCAACAATTTCAAAATATGTTGCGCTGCCAAACCAACCCTCTATAAAAATATTTGCAAATAGTCAAAGGTTAGTGTGATACAGGAACCATTATTACTTTTAGTTTACATTAACAGTTTTCTTTTGGTATGAATCAATGATATTAAGTATTGAAACTTGTGCACTGACTGTGCATCATTGGGGGGTTAGGGTTAAGGGTTTATGATTAGGGTAGGGTATAGGGAATAGGGGTAAAGAAAATGAACTATTTGGGAGAGTAACAATGGTAAAGAAGCATGATTCATTTAACATTTACATTTTTAAATAAGTGAAAAAAAGTAGACTTGCTGTGTATGAAACAAACATGTATGATTACTCCTGCTAGACGTCAAACCGTACAGAATGTGGCTTTTACCACTAATGGATTGTTCAAGAGGAAACTCAGGAGTGATACGCCCTTTTTGAACTTAAAGCGACTGTGCCTCATCACTGTTGAGCTAAACTGTCAGCCTCCACTGTACCCTGCTGCTGTTGCTCCTCTGTTTCCATAGAGACCTCACTCAAAATAGTTCTCCCTCGTTTTCACCCCTCCGCCTCCTCCTATACCAGAAAATAAAATTTACAAAAGAAGGAGGAGAAATAACAAGTTTAAAGACTTCAGGGTGGAAAAATGGGAATTGCTGCAGGGTGGGGGAATCTCATGATGGCACCTGAGCTTAAAAAAAGAGCGCTGGATTTACGCTACAACAGAGTTACGCTTGGGAGAAGAAAAGAAAGACGGTGTACGGAATTGACTGTGTATTTGAGATAAAGAGCATGTTTGAATATGACAGAAAGGGAAACAGAAATACATGTAAAAAGAAGAAAGCCAAAGAACAAGAAAAACCCTAAAATAAGAGGCTTTTGTCTTCGCTTAAGGTTACAAATAAAGAAAGGTATACAAAGAGAAAGACTGAGTTTGACTGAGAGACAGAAAAAGCCTCAGCCATAGACTGACAAGTTTATCATGTAAGCCTTGAGATATAGCGATCCAGTTTTTTAGTTCTCCAGAACTCAGCCACCTTCTAGTACTCTCCAGGAACATTCAAGGGCCTTGTGAGCTGGTAAAGAAGGACTCTGACTACACTAGAAAGCTTGGGGTTGAAAGCTCAGAGACACAGCTCAAACACAAGATTCCTAATTGGGTGACTTGGTGGCTCAGCGGTCGGCCACTGTCACTTCAGTACAAAGAGCGACCGACGTTTGACCCCCATGGAACTTTCTCTGCTGAGCTGAAACGACCTCTCAATGTTTGCCAGGATTTGAAGTGGTTAATTCTAACTCTTTTGCAAATCAGCTTTTAGTTCGGTTCATTTATCCAGGAAGAAGTCTGAACTCAGTTGGCAGAAACCACACGAAGGCACCTGCAAAAGTGAGCGTCAGACCCTCTAACAAGAAAAGTTTGGAGTCAACTGAAGGAAAAGCTTTTACTCACACATCAAAGCGAGAGTGGTAGTGGGAGAGCTCTGGTAGAAAAGGGATGCGAGCTACAAAATCATACATTTGCAAAGGTTGGCCGAATTAAATGGAAAGATAATCAGCATGTTTTGTATTGAAGTTGTCAAAGCAGACTTAGACAAGTACACTGTGATTTTCTAAGATAGTAAGCTTTTATTCTCAACTGAAGCTAGTGTTGTACCCTAATAGTATTCTTAGCCCGAAATAGGTTGAATTCTAACATTAGATGTAAACACAGCTGTTGGTAAGCTAATGGGTTGTTTAGTAGGCCTATGCTTTTCTTTACTTTAAAACAGGTTAGCGTATAGCTGTTGTTTAAAGGCTTTATATGTGATTTTTCACACTTAAATATAATAGAAATCAAGTATATCCTCTGAAAATAATGACTGTCTATAATGGGTTTAACTCCCGAGTCCCACTGTCTGTGATGTTTTCCGAGTTTTCCGAGTCATATTTTCTGTTTGTGGACATAACCGGGACGACGGCTGACTCCTCCCCTTGCAAATAAAAGTTGTTTAATTGAGGGACTAGAGAAAAGAAGAATAACATACCGTACTCACTGCTTAACTGTGTTTCTAGATCACGCTCATTTCAGGTAAATTTAAATGCAGTGTGAAGAGACGAGCATAATAAAGATCGCTAGGGGCGCGCTGGTGGCGAGGCTCTCGTCTCGAGCGATAGGCCCGGGTTCGCTTCCACCCGTGGCCTCTTTCCGCATATCATTCCTCGCTCTCTCTCCCTGGTTTCTGACTCTATCCACTGTCCTATCTCTGCATTAAAGGCACAAAAGCCCAAAAAAGAAATCTAAAAAAATAAATAAATAAATAAAATAAAATAAAGATCGCTAGCATTAGTATGCTAACACAACAATGCACCGCGAGTTGTTTTGGTTTCATGCTGGTGCTGAAGGGCAACATCTGCTGGATCAAAAAAATCGCATGTAAAGCCTTTAAACCTTTTTTTGTTTTTTTTTTTGTTTTTTTTTACATGAAAATAAGGAAAGGCATTCATTTTAGCTATCTGTTATGTAAGACAGCTAACTTGAATTCTTAGCTTTGAACTTGGTTTAATGTTAATGCTAGCTGTTGCAAAAAGGCTGTTAGCTACGCGAAAACTATTAAGTCTGGTTATGTTATATTTTGACCTTGAAAAAATGACTTTCTACAAACAATTGTCTTGTGAGTTTTCTATCAATTAGGTTAACGACTGAAGGACCAAATTGCTGGAATGGAGCATGAGTCTGTATGAGATTGTCAGCAAGTTATTTCATCATGACTCTCTCATTGCCCACAGTTTATGACAGCAATTAATTAATCAGCACAACGAAACAATTATCTTACTTTTTAAAAAAATCAAAACCATGCATCTAGGGGCGCCAGATGGATCTCTCTAGCTGTCCTATCCAGTAAAGGCAAAAAGGCAGAACTTTAAACCCCCCACCCCCATACACATCTAAGGATAATGCTACAAGGGGAACCTTTTTAGTCAAAAGTGCACCCAAATGCACACCATTAAAACACACATACTTTTAAGTACAAACTCTGGTTGGAAAAAAATGGGTCATCACAAAGAAGAAAAAATGTGAAGCTGTCAGATTTGTTCAAATATAAAAATTGCAGATAAAATACTCCAAATGACAGGACTGAATTTGAAGTACTTTCAAATGGCAAGTGGTTCTTCAAATACTTCAATGAAGGGCTGCTGATTGGTTACATGTATGTTAACATCATATTAGCGCCATTCTCTATATGCGGAACACTTTTCTAGTCCCACAGAGAACCCAATGAGTTTGGACAGTTCAGTTAAAGTACCCTGCTGGAGTTTAGAGCTGTCATTTTAACACTACATTTCAAATCTGAAATGTGTCCCCAGTGGCTCATTTTTATTTTGATCTCTCTCTTTTTCCCAACTGGTGGCCAGAGAGAGAGAGAGAGAGAGAAAGAGAGAGAGAGATGGGCAGTTTTGGGAGTTTTTGGTGGTGGTGGATGGGGAGGTGGAGAGCAGATGAAGAGTTTATTTCCACATATTTATAATCTGATGGAGCAGCAGCCCTGAGGGAGAGAAGACCAGAAGCTGTCAGAGCGAGCAGGGTGAGAATCTCTGCAGGAAGTTTGACTCAAAATTGGCCATGACACTGAAAGGAATTTTTTTCAAAACGATCATTCAGTTGCATTCTGGCCTTCTGTGGCGGCACTGATCTCATTTAAGTAACACCCCCATTCCCCTATATTGTTGCTTAGTG